AGTGGGGATAACCCGCCCTGGAGCAGGTAGTATGTGAAGGATTTCAGCGGTCAGATACCTAGCCTCCCTAAGCTTCTTGATGTACTCCTCTGTGATGGAAGAGGCCATCCACCGGCCTTGAAGGTTGGATCCGGACATGGTTGAAGGCCCGGAGCGCTTATGCTGAACCTTGGGTGTTGTAACTCGAGGTAGGGGAAGGGAAGGATCGGGCGTGGAAAGAAAAGGACAGGTCTTGACCTCTTTATAAAGAGGGTGAATATCAAGCGTCCTCTGCGTGGCCGTTTGGTACTTGCCTAAAACCGAGGAGTCGTACTAACGTCACGATTGGGTTACCCACGCCCGTATTGATGAGAATCCCGTGATAAGGGGAACACGATCTCTGCTTCAACAAGACGTGCCAATAAAACCGCCTCGCAAGACGTGCAGCAGCAGGTTGAGAAAAACAGTTTGTATAATGACCGTGCCGCGGCGTGATGTCATGCTATAAAAAGTTGTCAGCAGATTAGATTTGTGGAATATTGTGCTCTCTATGGTGATATGTGGAATTAATTTGCAGAGCCGGACACGATTCATGTGTTCAAAATCTACCTTGGAGTATTCGGAGAAGGAACCCGCCTTGCAATGCCGAAGATAATCTGCGGGTCGGACTCATCGTCATTGAAGCCTGGTTCAGTGGCTACTGAGGGAGTCCTGGATTAGGGGGTCCTTGGACAGCCGGACTATGTACTTGTGCCAGACTGTTGGACTATGAAAATACAAGACTGAAGACTTCGTCCCGTGTACGGGTGGGACTCTCCTTTGCGTGGAAGGCAAGCTTGGCAAGTCGGATCTATAGATTTCCTTCTCTGTAACCAACTCTGTGTAACCCTAGCCCCCTCCGGTGCCTATATAAACCGGAGGATTTACTCCGTAGGACAAGAACAATCATAATCATAGGCCAGCCTCTAGGGTTTAGCCTCTACGATCTCGTGGTAGATCAACTCTTGTAATACTCATATCATCAAGATCAATCAAGCAGGAAGTAGGGTATTACCTCCATAGAGAGGGCCCGAACCTGGGTAAACATTGTGTCCCCCGCCTCCTGTTACCATTAGCCTTAGACGCACAGTTCGGGACACCCTACCCGAGATCCGCCGGTTTTGACACCGACAGCGGGCCTCCTTGTGCCTACACGGTGAGCACCCCACGTCCTCCCTCTGCCTCCCCCTTGTTTCTCGAGCTCTAGCCGTTGCCGCCATGGATGTCCGAGCCTAGATCTGCTGTGTGGCTCGCCGCTGTTGCTCTCATCGTTGTCATGGCCATCCGAGCACACCGTTGTGCTCAGGGCACTCCAATGGTGCGACCTGGCCCCCTGTTTCGCTCGCAAATGCGCTGCGTAGCCGTCCACATAGAGCACCCTTAGCCTCCGCCGTCCACCGTTGATGCTCCGGTTGACTCCTGTCGTCCCAGGTTGAGAGACTGCCGCCGTTGGACACGGCTCACTCCCCTCATCCGAACGAGCTAACACGCTCGCGAAATGAGGCCCTGTGGTCATTTTCAGATGACGTTTGTAGCTCGCCACCGTGTTTTGGGATCGCCAGAGTAACTCTGGCGTCGGCGCTGACGCAACGCCCACCTCCTGGGTCACTGGCAGTTGGGTACCACGGGCCTAGTTGACTAGTTGACCAGGTCAATTGTGCTGACTGAGCAACGCCCCATCACTGCGAGTGGGTGACCCGTGGGTCCAGTTGACTGGGTTGACCCGGTTTACCCTGCTGACTTGGCAGCCCCAGTCACTGACTGGTGGCCCCCTAAATCTAATTAAATTAATTAAGTTAATCTAATTAGTCATTGACATGTGGGCCCCTATTAGCTAATTAATTGATTTAGTTAAATTAAACTTGTTAGATTAGCTGAATCATTGATAGTGGGGTCCCACTTGTCAGTTTGACCAGTCAACTGACTTGGTTGACTGCTGACATCATGCTGATGTCATGCTATGCAATAAATAATTTTTTGAATTAATTTAAATAATAATAATTTCAGAAAATTTTAAAATATTTGAAAAATCATATAAAATAATCTATAAGTCAGATGAAAATAACTTATCTATGAAAGTTGCGCAGAAAAATACGAGGTCGCCTGAGGGTGCCGTCGGACCTTCCTGGAGGGCGTCGGGGGCTACCCTTCCTCTCTCCTAGCCGCGTACCAGGGGAAACCCTTGGCAGCATCGTCATCATCGTCGCGTCCCTCTTGGAGGTGTTGATTGGTACCAGCGCTTCAAAGTCTAGGAGCTTGGTGGAAGATCCCCGGTGGGCGCAGCGGTCGCAAGGCTTCTTCATTTTTGTTGATCCTCCGTTGTCGGCATTTATTTCTTTTGTATTTTCTCTTTCGTTTCTTTTGGGTATGCCTGTGCTGCTTCCGTCCCAGCACCTATCGTTGGTTGTATCGGTGATGGTTGCTTTGTAATACAAAGTGGAGAAACCCTATTTCCGGGGGGTGGGGGGCATATCTGCCTCAACCCAAAGTGGCCAAGTTCATGGACCCATTCAGACAGTGTTACGTCCTAGGGATGACTCAGGACACTGGATCTTGGCCCACCATGCACATTTACGATTGTTCTATTTGAAAACTAAAACATGGCAGCGTATAGCTTGGCGGTACATTGCTGCTATGCCTTTTAAGCATCTCGCTATGAATTGAATACCTCGACTCTATTCAGAAGAAAATGCAAACAGATTAATAGACTGATGACTCCCTGAGCCTGTCATATGTACTGTTGGCTGTTACCACTAGACAAGTTTTAAGCATCTCGCTATGAACACAGATGCTACAAAATTTGCGCCATGTGATTGAGAGGATCAACTTTATGCCTCTTCATTGCCTCCAGCCTAGCTATTATGTCCTCATCTGCTAAAAGTTCATTCTCACTATCACTGTCAGTTAACTCTTCAGCAAGCACCTCTAGAAGTTTTCTTTTTTCTGCCTTGTACTTCTCTTTTTGTTTCTTATTGCTCCTGAACAATCTCTTCATTCCTCTTCTGCTCCATCATCTGCTCAATGTTCTCTTGCTCTTGGTCTGTCTCCATGAAATACGCATGCCTCTCATTGCCATAGTCCAATGCAAACTCTGGTTCACTTGGATCCTTAAGCTTCAACAAACATGAACACTCCTGGGTGTTCATGGCCTGGACTGGCTGTGGTTGGGGATTCACTGGACTGGGGAAAAGAACTCCTGAAGTATCTACCTCATAAACAAGTGGTACACCTAATTCAGACAAAAGGGACCTGCTCTTCATAAACATGACCAATGTTCAAATTAGCTGGTGTTGGTGCATCACTTTTCACTTCTCATAACCATAATGTTAACCACATTATTTCCTTTACTAGTTATGTCATCCAACATTTCTTCCACCTTGTCATCATCAGTTAATTTTTCCATTCCTGACACCCCAACTCTTGGATCTTTGACATAATACATAAAATCTCTAGAACTAAAGCCTTCTATCTCTATTAGTGCAATTAGATTCCAATAGGTTATGTCTGATAAGAAAATTGTTCTTTCCAAATTATCTATGTCCAATAAATGGAACCTCACTTTCCATTCTTCATCATCCAATCTACAAAATAAGTTCAATTCAATTAAACACTTTATTCCATTTGTCTTAAACACTTTAGTCCACCTAGTCCATTTGTGTTAAATAGTTTATTTAACAGTGCTGTTAAAATTTAGATAAAACTAGTGTTCAATAGTACATGTACATATGTTCAGTCGAAACTAGTGTTAAATAGTATAGTTAAAATTCAATTAAAAGTGAGTACTGAGCCATTCTGTTAAATTTTGTGCAATTGCTGTTATAGTTAAGTTTAAAAGCACTTTGCAGCTAAAATTCAGTACAAAATTTACACTTCAGTTAAAATTCATTTAACATGACTGAATAATCCAGGACAAGGTACTTTGCAGTTCACAGCCATGACTTGCTTACAATAATCCTAACCCTTAAGCCAGTACTAAAATGCTACAATCCTAACCATAAACCCAATACCTACAACTCTAAAACACTACAACTCTTGAACAATTAATACCCTAGAATCCAAATCGGGGATAAGAGAAAGGAAGGAGAGAGGATGGATGCCTTAGACCACACCGGCGAAGGAGGACGCAAAGTGTCGGCTGTCCATCGGATTTGCCTTCACCGCCTGGGCGAATGCACTAGCCACCGCGTACTCCGTTGATTTCGCCGGTGCCGGGGATTGGGGAGGAGGCAGCGCCTGAGAAGGATTCGAGCTCCTGCAGAACTCCGGTGGACCTCCATCACCACCACCCGGAGCATCGCCTGCGACAGCGCCGCCGCCGCCAGGTTTCGCTGTCGCCATGTAAGGAAGCCTGAGGGAGAGGAGCGAGCAAGAAGTGTGGAGTGGCGCGGTCGGTCTGTCCGACACGAGCCAACCACGTCATTTTCACCAAACGGCGCCGTCTGCCTAGCCGTTATGCCATGTAGGTTAAAACGGGCCCCAGCTGTCGGAAACGCGCTCAAACGCAGCAAATCGCTCAATCGGTGCATACTGCAAAAAGTTTACTGAATGTACGGTGTTTTTTGCAAACAATTAATGACCTAGCAGTTTTTTGCAACCGATGCCCCAAATGTGATGTTTTTTTGCAATTAACTCTATTGGCCCACCATGCACATTTACAATTGTTCTATTTGAAAACTAAAACATGGCAGCATATAGCTTGGCGGTACATAGCTGCCATGCCTTTTTAAGCACCTCGCTGTGAATTGAATACCTCGACTCTATTCAAAAGAAAATGCAAACAGATTAACAGACTGATGACTCCCTAAGCCTGTGATATGTACAGTTGGCTGTTGCCATGCCGATCGACTAGACTAGTTTAAAGCCTGCCAAAGAACACAGTGTTACAAAATTTGCGCCATGTACAGAGAGCAAACGGAAACAATCTCTACAAGCAGCAGAATCGCCCGGCACAAGTTTCACACATCCCTACCCAGCATCGACGACTACCTCCCTTGAAGCATGGTGACGGTGAGGTCGCAGGCGGAGTAGGACTCGTCGCCGGCCTTCCCCCTGAACCCGTCCCTGTCCGAGGACGTGCACTGCAGCGTGAAGGTGGGCGGCCTCGGCATCGGCAGCACGGAGCTGTCGCTGCCCAGCGCCAGCACCACGTACGGGATGTCCGGCCGGTCTCCGGCGTGGTCCTGCACGCACAGCAGCGCCATGTGGACGCACCGCAGCGCCTCGCGCGACGCCGACGCCGAGCTCGACGCCCGGATCAACGGGTCGATCAGCTGCTCCCCCTTGTCCGAGTTCCACATCTGCCACGCCTGCACCCGAGACCAAAGCAGGTCAGCAACAAAGCTCACTCTGTCTCATCAGAGAAGAAGAAGAACAGAACAGTGCCGACGCATTGCTGATGAGAACTAGTGGCAGAGAGGAGCTTACGTAGCCTACGATGTTGAGCGAGCCCTCCATGTTGTGGAAGCTGCTGTTCTTCTGGCCGGTGATGATCTCCAGGATCAGGATGCCGAAGCTGTACACGTCGGACCTCACCGAGAACAGGCCCTCCATTGCGTACTCCGGCGACATGTAGCCTCTGGTGACACATCATCGTACCAAAATTTCAGCAAAAAGTTCAACATTCGGCCATTGTTGGTTTCTGCAAGCAACGTGCTACTTGGTACTCACAGTGTGCCGACGACGCGGTTGGTGTTCTCCTGGTTCTTGTCGCCGCCGAAGATCCTGGCCATGCCGAAGTCGGATATCTTGGGGTTCATCTCGTGGTCCAGGAGGATGTTGCTGGCCTTGAGGTCCCGGTGCACCACGCGGAGCCTCGAGTCCCGGTGGAGGTACAGGAGCCCCCGCGCGATCCCTTCGATGATGTGGAGCCTCGTCTTCCAGTCCAGCAGCCCCCGCCTCGCCGGATCTGATCCGATCACCACCGTACCACATCGTGAGAGTTGGCCCAAGAAAGCGAACACCACACTACACAAATGAGATTTTTTCGAAAAGGACTACACAAATGAGATAGACGGCGCGCGTGCAATGCATACCGAAGAGGAAGGCGTCGAGGCTCTTGTTGGGCATGTACTCGTACACCAGCATCTTCTCGTGGCCATGGATGCAGCAGCCCAGGATCCTCACCAGGTTGCGGTGCTGCAGCTCGGAGATGAGTGTCACCTCGTTCTTGAACTCCTGGCACCCCTGCCCGGAGCTCCTGGACAGCCGCTTCACCGCCACCTCCTCGCCGCCGGGGAGGCTGCCCTTGTACACGAGGCCGAACCCTCCTTCCCCGAGCTTGTTGGCCTCGCTGAAGCCGCCGGTGGCCGCCGCCAGGGTCTCCAGGGTGAACATCGGCAGCTCGCAGCCGTCGCCGTTCTCCGCCACCTCCTGATCGGGCTGCTTCGGCCCTGAGAAGTCATGCTTGGCTTTCATCGTAGCAGGGCGCAGCATCAGCGCGGCTCCCGTCCTCTTTTTCCCGCCACCGACGCCGAGTTTATCTGCACGAGATAAGACGAACCAAATTAGCCCGTCATGTACGTACTACAAGAAATTTGCCTGCAAACTGCTGAAATCTTCAGATCCGCACCTCTGATTCTTCTTCTGCATTTCCACATGAGAAAGCCGCATGCGGCCAGTACAACCGCCAGGACGAACAGTACGCTAACGATAATCCTTGTCCTCCGTTTGGAGCCTGAACCTGCCCAGGTAAAAAGTACAGTCAGAACGTGTATCATCCATGTCCAATTCTCAGTCGAATGGGTCATTTTCATCCACAGTTGCAAAGGATTATGGAACAGTACTATCTACGAATCGACCCAATCACATCAGAAGAATACTTTAATCATTGATCGAGGTCACATCTCCTAAAGTTGCAAACTGCGGGCGTGTAATCTGGCAAAGCCACACGTGGATTCAGATCAGGTAAATATAAAAACCACCAAATGTGGTCAGACATGTTGGCCTGCATGGTCAAAACTAAGCATATGGTTTGTTTCACATGTTCCATTTGTGCTACTTGCAATATATTATATCATTCGCGAGAGAACCTAACTAAGACCCTGTTTGGTTCCAAATAAGTCACCAACTTATAAGTCGGAAAGTGAAAAAAGTGACTTATTTTGCCAAACAGACCCGACTTATAAGTCACCCCAACTTATAAGTCATAAGTTGCTCCACCCCAACTTAAAACTTATAAGTCACCCCCTTTTGCGTAGGTCCTACCATCTGCATGATGTTGATTGGTGTAGGTAGGTGTGTCAGGTGACTTATAAGTCAGGTGACAACCAAACGGGCGTGACTTATAAGTCACTGGTTTTAAGTCACCTGACTTATAAGTCGGGTGACTTATTGGAACCAAACAGGCCCTAAACTATCCACCTCACGGCCGGCTTCATCCATATCCCTAGATAATGAAAGATCTGACCATGTTAGGTCATTTTCATGAAAATGTGCAAGTTGGTGAAAACATTTAGTATGTGTCGTTGTCGGGAAAATCTTTTAAGCCGACTGCGATCTTTCCTCAAAAGTCAGCTTGCATATGTTCACAAGTTATATTCGTTTCCTTCTTCTTGCAGGGCTGGGAATATTCAAAGTAACCCTTTTAGCTGCCTTAATGCGTTGTTACCGAACAACGACAGCTGATAAAAAGCATACGAAATGGGGGGCGAAAGTCATCTGAAAGGCAGAGCAGCCTGGCTGTTTTCACCCTTGACGGTAACTGTTTACTGGTCCAAGTTGGCAACCATCTCCTACTCGACTACATGTTCCGGTGAATTTTATACCGTGGACTGACTACACAGGGCAGAGGAGACCCCAACCACTGTGCATGCATCCACACAACTTTGTATGCATCCACACAAGTTTGTTCCTATTTAGAACTATTATTATCAACACGGCTGAAGTCGCGTTCCTCGTTGACAAGGACCAAAGTGTCATTGTTTACTTCTACTTAGGCCAAATTCAGTGGTTGGATATTTGGGTTGTAGCAAGCAAGCAACCCAAGTCAGTCTTGCCACAAGCACACAACAAAAACTAGAATTTCTACAGTAAGCGTTTATCAACATTTCCTCAACAACCGGGAAGTTTCCTAACTCGAGTTTTCTAAACCCAAATTAGAAGTTGAAGGTTAAGCTTACCTAATGCAGAAGCGGGGACCTTGATGTGCAGGTCATACCCTTGTCCGTTGGGGAACTGTCCGCTGGGGAACTGGTAGATGTCCAGCAACTCGTGGGCCCAGGTCAAGCACCCGGTGCCGCCGCTGTAGCTGTACGCGTTGCACGTGCAGTTGGCCAGGCACCACTGCCTGCACGCGTCCGCGCTGATGACCGCCGACTCCCACGCGGCCAGGTCCGGCAGCTTCACGCCGGAGAGGACGGCGAACGCGTCGCCGCCGCTCATGCTCACGTTCCGCTCGCTGCACGTCAGCTGGCTGCTCCTCACGCACCCCTGCGCCCACACCCCGCTGCCGTACTCCGCTTCGGATTTCGGCTCAAAACCTGCAAATTTGAACCGACGTGTTGAACGACCCATGGGGATTGGGGGAGTAATGCAGCACGTTTCTGCATGAGCGGAATGCGGTCTAACCTCTGAGGCAGGTGCAGTGGTCGGCGGCGGAGCACTCGGCGTTTGGGCCGCACGTGTTGTAGGCCTGGCATGGCAACGTGGGCTGCGACCAGACCACCTCCCAAGCGCCGGTGGCGTCCACCAGCTGGTAGCACGTCTCCGTGCCGTTGGGCTGGAGCACGAACCTGTACTGCGAGGAGTTGAAGCGCTGGAAGGTGTAGTACAGGCCGTTGCTCTGGGACGGGTCGCCGGAGAGCTGGAAGCCGTACAGCCCGTTGAGCGGCCGATACGGGATGCCCACGAAGCTGCCCTTGGCCCACTGCCCGGACCTCCAGTGCGTCACGTCCTTGCCGTCCTCGCTCCGGCGCCATATGAAGAGCTGCGACGACCCCAGCGGGTCCTGCCCGAGCGTGAAGTTGCCGGGGGCCGGGTCGTCGGGGCTCCTCCACGACCTGAACAGCGTCTGCCTGACGACGGCGCCGCCGCGCCGGGCCAGCGTGATGTTCATCCCGGGGAGGAAGGTGTCCGCCGGGTAGTCGAAGCTCTGCCAAAGGTGCACCGCCTGCGCGCCGCTCCCGCCGGCGAGCACGAGGTTCCCCGTGTCCTGGATCGTTAGCGTGAAGTTCCCCGCCGACGAGGTCGTGTTGGTCTGCCACACGACGCGCTCCCCCTCCATCACCCGGAGGTCCCCGGAGTCCGTGACGGTGGCGGAGTAGGACGAGGCCGTGGCGCTCACCGGCGCGTCGCGGTTGGCCACCCACGGCACGGTCGGCTCCGCGGCCTTGGCGAACATGACGCCGAGGTACATCCGCGAGCCGTCGCCGCCGCGCGGCGAGAAGAAGGAGAGCGAGAAGGCGCCGTTGGCCGACAGGAGCTTATCGTTACCCGCCAGCGACTGCCCTTGCGACAGCGTGGTGCCCGCGTCGGCGTGGACGTGCCGGCAGAGGAGGAAGATGAGCAGCGCGAGCGCTGCGGAGGTGGCACGAGCCATCAATGGCGGCTGGGGTCGAGCGGATCCTCCCTTGGCTCTCTTGTGGTGAAGGGGGACGGGGGAGAAGAGGTCGTAGTGGATAAACAGGTGCTTCTTCCTCGGGCGCGTGGTTATATATCAAGCGCGCGCGCGAGAGAGAGAGCCGCGTGGGGAAAGCATTTGGGCCGCATGGTTTTGAATGGGATTTAATTAGGCTAACCAGCTTTAACAACTGAAAGGGTTCCATTAGGCGTGGTGCGAGTGCGACTACACTTAAAAAGTGGTTAGAATTATGCAACGGAAGGGGCTGCGAAGCTCCGGGTTCACATTGTTTGAGACTCAACAAGGCTGCACCAGCGACAAAACTCGTTGATATAGTACTATCTTTGATCGAGGACAAGGTGATTCACGTCGCTGATGAGGAGCCGCTACGGGAGGTTGCAGCTCTTAGCTAATGATGATGGGAAAATGGAGTGCTTATCTCAAAGGGCGTGTCCAAAGAGTGCCAGATCATCGTCAATCAGCTTTACGTGGAGTAGGTGATGATTAATTGTTCGTTAAACACTTAAACTTCATATGATTGCTACACGCAAACAAATGCGAACGCACTAAAAAAAGGGGGAAATATTTGGAGTGTGGAGAGAGAAGACACCTCCCCCTCGCCGCCTTCCAACACAAACCCTAAATCCGTCGCCTCTTACTTCCCATTCATCTCTTTTTCCTTCTTGCTACTAGAAACCAGTAGCCAAGCGAAGTCTCAACAACATAGATCGATGATGGCACCGCCGAGGAGGTCGCCACTCCGTCAGCCTTCGGCAGTGACATGCGATCTCCGGGCGGCTGCTACTGCTAGAACCTGAGAGTGTGGCTGCCTAGCGACAACGGCGGTGTTTTCAGTCTTTCCCAATTCTGGTAACAATGCACCGATGACTACATTCATGTCTACATGGTCATGGGCCGCATAAATAGCCCGTCCTTGGTGGCCATCCGCACCTTCTTGGGATGGACCTCCACTCAGGCAAGCGGGTGGTTGCGACACACGTCGGTGGAAATGTATTTTATAGAGGCTTCTTCAAGTGGGCGCCTCATTAATTTGATTGTAATGGTAAAACAAAAAAAAACAATTTGTGTTATAATTGGGCGAAGGGATACTTTGTGCCAGTAACCTTTCCAAATGTGTTGGGTGGCGGGTACTTGCTGTTAGAACAACTACCTTTTGAGATATGAACTCAAATTTGCCGTTACTACCTTAGTCTAAGTTTATTAGTTCCCATCGTATTTTAGTCAAATTTGACCACATATTTGAGTAGCAAAATATTGTGTCATCAAAATTATATTGCTAAATTTGTAATTGAATGTAGTTTCTATCAATATTATTTGTGGTACTTTTATCAGTTAAAGTTATCTTCAAAATATGACAAAAAAATACAAGGGGGGCTAGTAAACCCATACAGAGGTAGTAAAATGTAAGCTAAAACTTACTCCCTCAGTCCGGATTTATTGATTCCTTTTGTGTTTGTTTTAAATTTTGACAATAGATTTGACAAATAAAATATAAGTTACATGTCACGAAATTTATATTGTTGGATTCATATTCGAAAGAATGCAGTACCTTTTGACAGTGCAATAGTAACAATTCTCTTCTTACTTTTAAAGCCGATTCTTCTGGTAACTTCTTGAAGTTCAAGCCAGCTTTAGTAAAAACTAATAATAATTAATTCAGGTCATTGAGTTGAATTGTCTAGATCAGCTCGGTTCTTGTCGCCAATATAGTGTCAGCGGCTACGCGGGTTTGATCGTTGGTGAGAACGGCCAAAGAGGGACAATTTTCGTAGATTTTGTGTGTACGCAGTACTGTATGTACTATCTAATAGCGACAGAGCTGTGGAGTACTGGAATGGCCATCAATTCAAACAGCTCTGCCCCGGACAGGAATTTTTGGAACATGGTACACACCATATGGTGCATGCGTAACATGAGCTCTGTCGCAACACGGTAATGTTTTCTTTCTGTCCGGAAAAGAAAGATGCAGTCGCAATACTTACTGATACGTATCTCCCGGATCATGGATCCTGAATTGCACATACAAAGTGTAACGATGAAGGAATATTTTGCACTTGTTTTCCGGTAACTGCCGAACGAACTGTCTGTCCCGGGGAGGCGGAGCACCCTATATATGCCACAAGAACTCTTCACAGCTAGTGTAGCTTGCGCACTACACCGTACGCAGTTTCACGAAGCGCTGACGCAAAAGGGCGGGAGTGTCGGAGACCACGTACGCGCCGGCTGGTCGCGGAGGAGGAACAAAAAAAGGACGAGAGCACATGCTGCGGTCGAGACCCGGAACCGGAAACACCCAACGCGTCCGTCGACGAGTCAGCGAAGCAGGGTCGGGTCGTTGAGCGGGCACCACTTGGCATGCGTGGCGGGAGTGAAAGCGCGCGACGCACAGGGGGAGGACGGGGGAGAGAAAGTGCCAAGAAGGTGGTGAATCTCGGGAAGCGGGGTATGATTTGGACGAGACGAGCTGGTCGTTCCTTATATATGTACTCTCACCGTTCATAAATATAAGACGTTTGACGCACAAAAACTTGTCTTATTTTACTTTTTATTTTTTGAGAAACTTTTCATCCATTTTCGAAACATATTTTTGCCCCGCTTTATATATAAGAACACCGAGATCACTAATTAAGCAGTATCCCTTTTAAAGACCGGACTTGCTAATTCTCATCTAGATGAAAATTAGTTATGTCTCATCTAACTACTAGCCGCAGGATCCACGTATCAAAAATTAGTTATTGCTCGTACCCGTTAGGGTTTTCTCCCAGGCGATCGCCTCGTATCTCGGTTTCGTGAGACTGACCTTAGATCGGATCGGATCCTCGTTCCGGTTCCTTCTGGGAGAGATTACCACCTCATAAGGAGATCGTCAGGCCTCAGGGAGGTGTTCTTGTTCGACAGTGGATCATGGCGAGCGAAACTTCTGCCACATCACGTGTTTGCGGCGGTTCAGGCAAGGACGTTCTTGGCGGCGGTTCAAAGGATGTGTCGGGGGCAGGGAAGAAGGTCAGCGAGGCTAGCTTCTCTGGCGGGGTAGATCCCTCTTCCCAGGCTGGGGATCTGGGTGAAAAGCTCAAATTTCTGAACCTGCGTGAAGATGAGGAAGAAGATGTCGTTCTTGAGGAGGATTTAGAGGAGTTGGAGAAAGACGCGGAGTTCATGGCCTTGGCAAGGATCCACACTACACGTACTTTCAGCCATGGCGCATTTTTTGGTGCTATGCGTTCTACCTGGAATCTTGCACAGGAGGTTGAATTTAGGGCCACTAGTGCAGAACCGGCCTTTAGCGCCGGTTCGTGACGGACTTTAGTGCCGATTCGCCAATCGGCACTAAAGAGTGGGGACTAAAGATCTCCCCCCTTTAGTATCGATTCGTCACGAACCAGCGCTAAAGTGCAAACATGTGGCACGAGCCAGGCCCGGGTGCGCGTAGGGCTTTAGTACTGGTTGGTAACACCAACCGGTACTAAATGTTTGGGTGTTTTTTTAATTATTCTTTTAATTTTGTGTTTTCAATTTAATTTAGTGATTGTTTTACATTATAATGAGTTGTTAAATCATTAGGTGAAAGTACCGTGGATTAGTTTCGACTGGATGCATTTGGATCTAGCTAGCTAAGTGATCAAGTATATGCCATATCCATATTATACTTGATCACCTAATTAGGTGATCAAGTATAATATATATGGATATGGCATATATATACTCGATCACTTAGGTAGGATCCATCCAGCTGAAACTAATCTGTGGTTTCTTTCATTAAATGATATAATAACTCATCATCATCATCATATTAATATAAAAACTCTTGCATCATATCATGCATCAACATGAGTATATATATACTCTAGCTAGCTAGCTAAAAATCATCGTAGTCGTCATTATTACTATTTAATCATCATAGTCATTATCGCTATCTAATCACCACCAACAGTAGCTTAAAAAAACATTCACTTGTACCAGAAGCAAAAATATCATCGAGTTCAACATGATTGTCATGATATTATAAGCGTTCATATATAACACCACAAAAGCAAATCACTCTTTGAGATTAAGTTCAAAACAAAGAACACGAACATGAAAGGACAAGTACTAAGAGCGGCATGAACTAGCTAAATCACTCCTGCTAGCTACTCTCTCTCTCTCTCTCTCTAATAAAATAGCATAGAACATGTATAGCTCTCCTGATTCATCATACTGGAGCATGCAGATGTACCTGTCTCCTAATCGTTGGCTGCGCTTCTCATTGCTGCCCCCTAGTACTTCTCTGTGATCGTTAACAATTTTCCACCAATCTTTCACTATTAAGCATTCATCGCTTCTAGAAATCCTGAATGCATTCATGTGCAATGCAGGATATCTTGGCCGTAAGCTAACAATTGACATGCGACCTTTAGTCTCAATCCCTTGAGGCACAACTGTCATCGGGAGTCTCTATTGAAGAACATCGTATAGTACTTAATTAATATACTTAGCAATGAAAGTTTAGCAAAAAAATTATGTATGCAAAAGATGCACTAAGGACAAATAGTAAAAATCTTACCATCATTCCTAAATAGATGTGATCGTAGTTCAATACCATCACTATTGGTCGCACGTTTTGAGTACTAACATTTCTGAGTGCGGCAAGAAAATTTGTCTTGGCAGTATGAAGATCCTCAAGCCATGAAACATAATGACTTATCTCCTCGCAGTTTAGTTCAGCTCCGGGATAGTAGTAGGTCCTGTCTACCAAGCGTCGGACATGTTTGCTTGAATGGAAATAAGCTATCAATAGAAATTAGTTGTCAATTATTTTTGAACCAGCAATATCAAAGACAAAAATATAGTTGAGAAGAACTCACATAATGGTAGAACTGGAGGCGTCTGCACATCGACCCATATGTCTCTATTACATTCAATATCATCTTCCGGACGAATATCAAAGGTGATAACCATACCAGGCTCAAATGCATAAGCCT